AAGCTACATGAATTTTTTTCGCCTCCGGGTCGATTTTTCCAACTCGTCGCGGCGACGGCAGCACTTCTGACCAATCACGATGCAGCTTGTTGACACGTCAAATTCAACATGGCGGACCGCTTAATCCAATTTGTTTCAGCAAATTCAGTTATCTATGATAAAAAGGACAAAAACTACAAAGATAATGAATACAAAGATAACGTATGGAGACGGATAGCAGAGGATCTTCACTTGCTTGTGAACTAAACTGATTTCATTACAAATAAACAATTTTTTTTTAACCTCAGGCACACGGCCAGGCGCTGTACTGGGTCGATCGGATCCCTGTAATTATTTTTCTGTTCCATCGTGTGGGGGGGTCAACAGCACCAACCACTCTTCAAACTGTCCCACAGACATCCTGAAATAGGTCCTAAAGCGACCATGATACAACTTAAGTTCCTGTACCAATCGATAAAACTCGCCATGTTCTCTCCTTATTTTCAATATAGGATGGACCCAAAACCTTCTTTGTTTTCTTTTTTATGTAGCAGGACAAGCAGTACATCGTCGTCGCTTGATGTGGAATCCATCTTTGTAGCGCGACGTTTTAAGAAAATATCTCTTATTCGCGTCGCGTTCGGTGTGAATACTTTTGGTGCGTCAAATTCGCCAGCGTTTTTTTCGCTTTTTCGTCTCGCTAATTCGCGTCGCGTTCGGTGTGAAAAGGCCTTTAAGGCCCTTTCACACCAGACGCGAATTTATTGCGCTATTTATTTGCGCGTCAATAATATTTTTCGAACCAATAACTTGTCAATGATACATTGCACACCGCCGACGTAATTTCGCGACGCGAAAAGCGACTAATTTTTTTCACCTCTGGGTCGATTTTTCCAACTCGTCGTGGCGACGGCAGCACCTCTGACCAATTGCAATGCAGCTTCTTGACACGTCAAATTCAACATGACGGACCGCTTAATCCAATTTGTTTCAGCACATTCAGTTATCTATGATAAAAAGGACAAAAACTACAAAGATAATAAATACAAAGATAACGTATTGTTGTGACCCTGACCGGCCGCTGATGTTCATGTGTTCTGGGGCCTATTTCAAGAAGGCGGTTTAACAAACTCAGAGTTCAAACCTGAACTCTGAGTTGACTTACTCAGAGTTGGAAAACTCGGAGTTTTCGGTTTCAGAACAGCTGAAAAGAGTTGGTTTAATCAACTCTGAGTTGTCTGACTCAGAGTTAGGCGCGTGCCACGCGACTATAAAAAGCCCTGAACAATGGAGTGAAGAAATTACGAGTCACCATGGCAACAGGACCAAGCCAAAATAGGTCTGC